ATACAGCAGGCCTGCAGCCTGAAAATAAAACCAGTCCATGTTAAATATGAAAAGAAAAAATGTAAACCAATGAAGTGCAAAATTTGGTAAATTCAATCCTATATTCTGACACCTTCCGAGTTACCAAATTTGTCTTACACAGCTGCTTGTTTCAGTGACAAACCAGAGTTCTAAAACAAGAGATTTGCCATGTGAGTGCAACCTCCCAAATAATCACAAAAACAGGTTAAAGCAATCAAAACAGAGAAGTTTCATTCTGTAATGGCAAAACAGGAAATTATTTGCAAACACTACAGTTCATACTCAAGAATCTCCTCCTTGGTGGCAATGTTTCCATTCACCATCTTCTGGATGATGAGGGCATGGTCCTCTTCTGAGACATGTTCACGAGAGACTAGAGGAAGGAAGTCTGTTGGCTGTGTGTTCAAATCTTCCCCCAGCCAAGGGTCTGCTGCAATCTCTTCTAGAGAGGCCCGCCTCTCTGGTTCTCGTACAAGCATCCGAGCAATCAGTCTGCAAACACGTGGGTATAACATTCGGTACAGCAGTCATGAGACCAATGGCAGATCTGGAAATCTTCAATTACAACATATGCCAATATAGTCTAACCCACAGGTGCAACAATACTACTATCAAATTCCACTACTGGACTGAATCCTGAGACATTGTCCAAGAGGTTTGGAGTTTATGAGTATCCAATAAAATTTTGTATGCACTAATCCACTGCCCCATCCAGTTTACATGTCCATTACTTCTAGGCCTCACCTTTTGCATGCATCTGATACATGGATAGGTATTGTGTACTTGCAGTCCATAATCATGGTCAGTGTTTCGCTGTCATTAGCTTCCTGAAATGGAGCCTGTCCACAGACCAGCATGTACAGGATCACACCCAGGGACCAAATATCTGTAACAGTGCAATCCTCTGTGCTAAGTGTATGTTCCTTGAGACCTTCACATTAATATGTGTTCTTTGGATGAAAAGTAAGCATATAGGGATGGCCATGTATGTCTGTCCATCCATCTGTCTGTTCTCATGAGTCACTCAAAAACCATGGTAATCACTGCAACTACTGTAGCTATACTATAAAAGGTGATTTGGGTATGCAGCAGTAACACGGTGTAGTTGTCATTTGTGGGATTCTGCGAAAGTAAATATTCAATGATGAAACTGTACATTTAGGCTCATAAGCATCAGAGAGTTATACAGTGAAAGGATGAATACACAAATCCTAATAGTCCAACAAGTCACATTTAGAATTTAAACTTTGCAAAGAATGCATATGAAAACTCTGTGTATTCCAGTGTGGGTTATACAATTCCATACTTGTTTCATCGGGGAGGCTGCAGTAAAAGCTGGATGTAGAATTTCCACATTGATCAATATTAGTCCAATCAATATTACTGACATTACACACAAACTTTAAATAAAATTTTACCAGATTTCTCAAAAATGACTCATTCTATTAAAAACCGGCAAAACAGGAAACAGTAAAGCTCCCCCTGTGCCTAATCACTACACCATCATATCATATGGGAATAGAGGTAAAGCTCCACATAATGAAGTGTGTAGTTAGGTTCTCAGGAAAAGGAAAACAATGGATAAGAGGTTGGGTGAGCCTCAGAACAAAGTGAACAGTCTTCACCCTTGCCAGGAAATGAACTCTGTTGCCCAGCTTGTAACCAGTCACTTTACTGACTGAGCTATCCCAGTTACAAGAAGTATATATTTACTAAAATCAATAATGTTGACTTGAAACGCGTTTAAATATGGTATACAACTATAATTTATAATTTTATACAATGCAAACAAACTATTTCCCTCTGCTATAAATGAAAATTAAGACAAATGATGGCTGAAAAATTGGAAATAATGTAAAAAGTCAAACTTTTCTGCCATTGTTTGCATAAATCCTACTTACCAACGGCGGGTGCATCATATGAGTCCCCCAGAAGTATTTCAGGTGCTGAATATGCCAGAGAACCACAAGATGTCTCCAGTTTTTGGCCAGGGTTGAAACGGTTACTGAACCCAAAGTCTGTGAGTTTTACCATGCCAAGACGTTCAAAGAAAACAACATTCTCTGGTTTTAGGTCGCGGTGCACAACGTGAAGCCGATGGCAATAAGAAATAGCACGTACAATCTGACGGAAGTATTCTCGTGCAACTTCTTCTCCGAGACCCCCATCATGTCGCATGATGTAGTCATAGAGATCTCCGCCATCACCGAGCTCCAAGATAAGGTAAAGTTTTGTCTGGGTGTCTATAACCTCATACAAACGTACAACATTTGGATGCTGGACTAGTTTCATACACCTTACCTGTGAATGAATGATGGTTAATCAGTAAAAACAAAAACCTCCAAACATCAAAAGATACTTTACTTAAAATGTAATAAATGCAAACCAACCTCAGATAACACATTCAGACCTGGTTGGCAGTTCAAAAGATGATCCATTCAGCCCAGCTACTTTGTTCATGGTACAATTTCTTAAACAAAATTTGAACATACATTTAAATATCCACCTTCTTGTGCTATTTTTTATGTTGCCTAAACTTTTCTCCATCAACACCATAGTGTGAGAATCATCTACTGATTGTAATATGAACAAAAACAAATGACAAAATATTGTGCCTTACTGCCTATCCAGCTCCAAATGTACAATATTTATGTTCTAACAAAAATTAATTCACATCAGTTCACAGGAAAACATTTCTAAACTCAATTTATAAATACAAATAAGAAAATGACTGTACACCATTATGTCAGCAAAAGGATGAAATAACATTACATTATAAAAGTTCTGTTGTCATTTAATACAAGCAATATAATATTTATTTTGGGAGGTCAGTGTTATGACCAGCTGGCTTCTCAATGTGACATAGAAACTGTAGTCTCCATCTTCAGGATGGAGTTTTTAACCTGGCCAAGGTACTAAACAGGAAGTGGAATGAATGACTGATTTATCAGCTCTTTGGTTACTTAAGTGGCCCATCCACGTACGAGTCTGACTTGCGAGTCTGGTTTGGATATATTTCACACACATGCATAGCAGACTCGGCTCGTGACACCCCACCCACAAACGAGTTTGGCTCAATGGAACCCTAGCCGAGCCGGACTCGCAAGCCAGACTCGTACGTGGATGGGCCGCTTTAGTATTACCCTTCAAACAATACAGGTTATATATCTTCAAATGAGAAGGGAATATATAATTAAAGGTAGTAAGTAAATACAAGTACACGACCATGGCATACAAGATATAATTTCAGAATTCACCTGCAAAAACCAAGAAATTCAGAATAGTTTGTTAAACATGGGTGGCATTCTAACCAGGTGCCTTCTGGTCAAGTGCAGAATGATGCCATTTCACCAACTTACTGGGTTTGAGGGAGTGGAAAATTCTCATGTTCTGACTGGTGAATTTCAATGAGATGAGGCCCATTTCAAAGTCATTGTCTTTATCATGTACCTGATAAGTTGAAAAACAAGATAATGCTAATGTCCCTAACACAGAGCAAACTTTTCAAAAACAACAGTCACATCACCCTAAAAATGAAAATACATATCTCACTTTAAAGTCCAAACACTTCATTCACAGGTAGAAACATCTTCCCATCCAATGGCAAAGACAGACTATGACAGTTAAAGAGAATTATTACTTCCCAATGAAAGGAAGCTGATTTACCTCCTGGAAGAGATGAGCCCTGGAGATCTCATCTAACTTGCTCTTATCAATAACTTTTACAGCAACCTTCTCTCCGGTAAAAACATGGCGAGCAAGTTTCACAACAGCAAAGTGTCCTCGACCCAATGTTTCCTCCAGGTCATACAAACCTGCAATCTTCCCATCATAGCTGTTGCGGCCTGAAGTCCGGTGCATCCTGCCACTGAAACACAAATACATGTCTGTGGATGCCTTTAATCCACTGGGGCACCAATCCAATTAGTGCTAACAAAGAGAAAATATAAAAATAGCCAGTGCCCATTAAAACAGGTAGGTTGCGTTTTTATTTTATATCGCATACAATGCTGATACAGCAAAACAATATTACTGAAGAGATGAAAAAAGAAACTTTCCATTATGACAAACATGAAAATTCTACTTGTAGACAGAAACAATTAAGTCTAAAGACCCTCTGATGTACACGTTAGGCCATAAGTCATGCACCATAACACTACAACGTACTTTCAAAATGTCCACCATCAACAATTAAACAATAGAACCGCTTAAAAGCGCATTCTTCACAATTCTTATGTGTACAGACATAATCTTTTCCTTACATTTCTCATAGATAACAGACATAATAAACATCAAACAGCCCCAGAGGAAAATATCAAGAGGGATAAAATCTGGTTACAAAGTAACCGCTGAACGTCGTTTCAGTGTTCGCTCAACTTGTTCTGAAGATTTCTGGCACCCACTGCGAGGAAGGTGGGCGAGTCCCACAGCTGTCTGTACACAGTGAAGGGAAGAATCCCGTCCCTGCTAGGAATCGAGTCCCATTCGTACAGTCAGTCACTTTAATGACTGCTATTCTCATTCATAACGTTAACGAAGGTATAAAACAGCAAAGAATACCTGCTCATCGTCGGGGTCCAGACATTGTACACACCCACACATAACCTACACCAAAATGGGACCAGCGAAGGTCATTGCCCTGAATCTTCACGCTATTAACGGTCGCACTTGGCTTCACATACAGTCTGGGTCACACCAAACTATTTTCGCTCTGCAATGGCATGTACCACTGTCCTTTTCCGACTACAGTTGTACCCTAAAAGTCCTAGATTGAAGTGGGGAGGAAAGTGCAAGACATTGAAGGAAAAGGGGTTACCTGTAGCGTTTACAGTTGTTCAAGGGTCGATTTACGCCCACTATCACGTGCTCGTGGCCAGCTCTAGAATACCGAATCTACGGCCTGTATTACAAGTAGTGACAGTGACGTAATTCTAGCAACGTGATTGATAACGAAAGCGGATTGTTGACGGCAGTAATGTAAGACAACAATGCCGAGTAAACAGATGTCGCAACAATTAGTTTCTTAGGTAACATAACAATATACGCAAGAGTTCATATAAAAGCTGACCATTGTTGTCGGTCCAAATTTACACAACTTAGTTACGCTTTTTTCCGTATAGACGTATTTACGTCAAAAAGAGAATAATCAGAACATGCCGGAAGCTCTGAAGATCAAGTCTACCATCAAACGGCAACAAAAATAAAAGCAAACAACCATGTTTCGTGCGGGATTCAAACTTCCGATTCCAACGTCCGGGTGGCCGAAGACCATGACCGCAGAAATCAGGAAACTGCACAGAGCTCCTGTTGGAACGTCTCATGACATCATGCAGCGGCAGGAAATGAATGGGAACCCCAACTCTGACGTCATGTGTGTGTGTGTGTCTATTTTGTTGTTCTTGGCGACCTTTCTATTGATCTTCTAGGTCATTAGCCATCTTCGTATATGTTCATGTGAGCAGTACAGTAGTGGAACTAGGTATTCAAATCGAAGTTTGGATGACAAGTCGGTGTGCAGAGACCCATTTACTCACTGAGTCGCAGTGTGTCAAAGGCTGCGAGGCTTTTGATCGCGAAGCAATGAGACACAGTTTGGGTCTGAAAAGACTACTTGTAACTTCATGGAAAAGGTTGGTGGTCCTTGACCAGAAAAAATTGCGGAACAGTTCACAAAACAGCCACTGGAACCCGCTCAGAACTACTTCAATCCCATTCGCACCTTCAACGCTCATTCCTCTAAAACACAATTTAAACTACATCCTGAACCCACCGAGGACGTGGATGTGTTCTCATTTTTCTTGTGCTGTGCAGTCCTGTTGTCCTGCACAGGTTATGACTTGCGATGGGTCGAACCCTCGTCCTAAGTCCTACCAAATGTCTTGGAGTGTTTCCGAATTCGGAATTGGCACAGACCATAAGCTCTAGTTAATGATAAAGAATACAACTATCTGCGTTCTCGTCTTATTTGTTGTTGTTAACGCGTGTAATACGTGCAGCTAAGTCTACCGTAAACCCATTAATCAAAACGCGGTACTGGAGGAAGAGACCACGAATGACTTTACCGGTAACTGAGGCCGGAACCAGCAAGTGACACAACTTCTTGACAGATTGGTCGCGTTGGTGGTGATAACGATATATCAAATCCTGCTTCAAACGCAGATTACAAATCAGTTTAAACGAAATCAATGCATGCCAGGGCAAATACCGTTTTGTGAGACTGGAGGCTCCCACGGAGGTTAAGATCTACCTACGAGTCCACACGACGTCAAAACCCAGAACAACACAATCAATTCCCATTAACTTCCGTCGAACTGTGTTGCAATGTTTCCTACTTCCCATAAACGGCGCATCGTTTAAATGCAGTGGGTGATTTCACATCGTAAAGCATTTTTATACCCTACATTTGACGGAGACATAACACAACATGTGTAGAAGCATTATTACAATCTCAGCGATGTAGAAAATCGCCAAACAAACCGACGCACAAACAGGCGAAAAGGGTCTTTTTGGAATACGGAAAAAAAAGGAAAGCGAGAGCATATAAATAAATAAAAGTAAAAAGGAAAAAGAAATAAATATGGAAACAAAGGCGGAAATGGAGAACAAAAAAGGGAAGATGAAAAGAAAGACGCACGTAACCGAAAACTGGGCGCAGGCCAGTAAATGAGGGGGAATAATCAATGTGTTATAAACCTTTCGCTTCAGGTGTCCCGTTAGACTGAAATTCTCGTCTGTGACGCCACGACAACGGACACAGCAAAGCACGTACAATGAGCGGTTCGGTGGCCACAGACAGATTTAGCAAAGCCTCTCCTACCCCCCTCCGCCCCACATGACACCGGCACATCTGCGGCTCAGCCACTCGCCAAACCGAAAGGCGTGTGGACTAGACGACCGAAGTTAGTACGCCGGTAGACGGAGATATTTTTTTTCCAGAATGGCTATAGGGCTTTCCTTCACTCCCTCAACACGAATGCCTGGGATCCTCCCTGGGTAAGAGTCAGCAGCAGGCACAACATGGACACAGCAGATGTCTACGTGAAAAATGGAAATACCGTTTCTGGGGATTGAACCCCGTCATATGACTCACAGTCAAGTCACTCTGCAGACTGAGCTGCACTGAACACAGAAACCTCGACGTTCATTAAAACAGTGTCCTGACGCACCAAAGCATCGCGTCGCAACCCTTTCATCCGCAACCTTTAGCAAGTCAAATTGTGTACGCCAATATTCTGCAGCTGTACAAAGTGCTCGTACCATGCTGTTATTTAATTTCTACGATATGTAGAATCTTACATCACTTGAGCGAATCATTCCCTCCACAACGGGGGCTACAATAGCGTCCAAGTAGTAGCACAAATTGTAACAACGAAGTGAAAAATAAAATAGTTCATGACAAAGAAACAGTACGGTACCAAATTTTTTGGCCAGAAGTCAGTAGGTCCACTGCCGTACAGCAAAATCCGGAGGGTTTCAAACAGCCGGATTCCTTGTAATTGTGCCCCGGTATTACCAGGAAATAAATTATTGTAAACAGCAGAACGAACGTAGAAAAAACCACACCCGCACAAAATGAGAGGACAACTGGGAGTAGGGATTTGGGAGGAATACGGAACTATCCCGACATTTTACAGGAAGTACAGAGGAAAAGTGAATGTAGCCGGTCTAAGGGCCAAAACTTGAACTCGGGACATCAGACATACGAATCAGGTGTGCGACGTTCAGTCATTTTAATTGGGAACCAAGAAAGAGAACAGTTGGAAAGCGTCGGCATAATTGAGAAAATTATATTAAAACAGATACATATGAAAAACAGGTTGTAAAGACACGAAATATATCACAAAGTTCCTGTAACAGGAAAGGCGAAGGTGGGGGACCCTTAAAAATTACATTTCTCGTAGCTGTTTCTCTTCGATCTGCTATCCCGGTGGGGCACTTGCGAATCTACACGTACACAAGCGGTCCTACGGTTAACCACAGAAGGCACGAAGCTCGAAGCACGATGGCTTTCGGCCAGAATTCTTAAATCCTTCTTTTCTACTGTACACAATTCCAGTCTTGCAAACTGTATTAAGATGGCTCTTCTCGGTTGTAGCGCTGTGTAGTGTGGTAAAAGTTATCAACGCTTCAGAGGTATTTGCCGCCTAACCGAGGCCCTGATGTACCTCTGGAACGTTGGTAAACTTCTACCACACTACGAGGCGCAAGAACCCAGCAGACAGGCATCTTCGTGAGAATCTCAAATCCTACTTACTAAATCTTGTATTGTTGAAGTTATAATTAAGCAATGTTAAAATTTAACATAATTAAATGAAATTGGCCGGTTAGTGTGACAAGCATGTGAGAAGATAGGTCATGTAATCAAATTCCACTTTTATTCCGGAGGTTCCGGTTCGAGTCTCCATCTGGACAAGTTTATCCCAACCATGGTTTTTAGCAGAGTTCTTCAGTACTCTCAGGCAATTACAATGAAGGGACAAAACCTCTCCAGTCCCTGTCAGTTCACAGTACTTACATACTCCCTCTCTCTCTATGACCGAATGCCACAATGTAGTGGTTGAAATTCCTACTTGTTTTCGGGATGTCCCAGGTTTGATTCCCGGAGGCCGATTATGCTAAGGTCTTCCTCAGTCCGTCCCTACAGGAAAATTCTGGTAAGGTAACTTAGATAAGTCACAACTGCTTCCTTCCCTACCCTTCGCAGTTACAAATCATAATCGCCCTTATACAGAACGTCCCCAAAACAAACACATAATACAGACTATTAACCCTGTTATCGATCAACTGTTAACACCTACAATAGATGCGCTAATTCAAAAAGTGCCAATGCTGAAGTATGCAGTGGTTTAGTTTAGTAAAATGTCTTTATTTCATTCATTGACTATGTGTATACATATTTTTGGGACACTGTGTACTTAATGACATGCAATCAATGCAACTGAAAATGTCGTTGAATAAACTACGGTACTAACTAATTACAGAAAGACAAACCAGTTCAATTTCAGATGTGAACATGTGATACCTATCCACATACATATACTGGTTTACCTTCATAACTGACTGTTCACATTTGGTGAAAAAATAAATGTGTTTAGGGTTAACAAAACGGTACAATAGTAAAAAGCTGCCATGTTCCCATCCGTTATAATGGAACCTGGCAACACTTCCTGCTCAGGCATTCACTACCTCCATCCAAATATCTCTCAAATGAAAACAAGAGACGGACGGATCGTGTATTGAATACGTTGTAGTCGCTGGAGCGATAATAACCCACATGTAATGAAGTTACGACTCTCACCATTCAGATATGAGGAATATTACAGACACGTATTCAAAGCAGTAAAATGGGACGACGAGTGCCACAAATACAGTACAATCACTGATTAATTTAGCAGCAACTTCAAGTAGCTGTTACAGCACTGTGCATGCTAAATGCCCTGCACACCTACTCTTGATTTACTTACCCTGGTACTAAACCTATGGGTTCTATAAATATGAGGAATATCTTGAATAGCCGAGAGTGACTGTTCGCTTTTGAATAAAACTGCTGCTCCAAGGAGACAGTTAAAATTATGTGAGTAAAAGAATTTATAAATCTAATTACATAATTCTCAACATTCCTTATAGATTTTATACAGATGTTGTCAATTGACAGACCACTAAAACAAACCACAGTGTGTCTAGACACACCATTAACCCCCATATTAGCTGGGCCTAACATGGATGAAATATGTGGAGAATGAAACACATTACACAACAAAAAACTTCATGATTTATACACATCACTCATCCAGGTGAATGATAATCACCAAAAGCTTCTGCAGTGCCTGCGCAGAACATTATGCAGATGAGGTAAAGTGTCATTCATTATAAACCTTAGCACTATGAGGTGGTAAATAAACAGCCATACTTCTGGTGAGAAACCTTCTCTGTGCTTACTGGACAGAAAGCTTGGTGGTTCACGGAGTTGGTGTGGATACGGTAGTAAAGAGAACTAAACTACAAGGACTGGACATTACCATGTACTGGTTAGTAACCTCACAACACATTCAGGATGTTCTTTGTAAATTCTATGTCCAGAAGCCAGATGAGGTGTTTTAATGCAGTTCCTCAATCCCTCTACAAATATTTTGGCAATATTTACCATTCACCCATTCTACTAGCTAAGAGAACATCATTAAATGGCCAAATAACAAAACAAAAACTTGAAGGTGCAGAATAGCCGATGGTTAAACTGTACAACAAGAAATTCCTGTTGTAACAGAACCTGAAAATTTCAGTTTTAATTCTTAACAACCTTTCTCCCCCAGTTCAATTTTAATATGATTACCTGTTTATTTGAAAATGTCACATCAAAATATTCTGTTCATTTATTTTCTCTATCCACATCCCACCCAACTCATCCATTTCCCCAAGAATATCATATAAAGAGTACAGATTGTGTTCCACATTATGTAATGTTGGATTATGAACTTAATGGGATGCATAATCATACAGTGATCATCCGGCATCAGAGTACACATTGTCATGCAGTATGTAAAACACGAAACACAGCGTACTGATTTCAACTCTAAGTTCCAAAGATTATATTTTTGGATATCACATATGTTTTGTTTATTTATCAGTTTCTTCACTGATATAGTCAAATGGGATAATGATTAAGAATGGTGAATAAGGAAGGATATGGAAGAACGTAGCTACAGCCTGCACAGTATGGAGGCATATGCAGTTCATACTCACTGAGGACTACAGGCCAATACTTCTTACTTCCTTACAGCTTCAGATTTAGTCAGATGTTCTGTATTGATTCTCTCACTAACATGATCTTGCGGTATACCATAAGTGTAACAAGTTTTAATAATTAGTCTATGCATTTAGACCCACTAAGGGTGTGAGTCAATTAAAACAAGCAAGACAATCTGCTGTCACTGTCACAATCAACTCATTTGTCAACCCACTGCATAAAATTTTTACAGCCACATTTCCAATTAAATATATGTGAACCGGCAGCGACTGACAATACTGCTTCAATTAGATCCAATAGTCTTGGAAATATTTCTTTGCCTGTGCACTCTCTTAATTACAGAAAGTCTGGTAGTATACTACTACAATTTTTCAATCAGCTAGCTCTCTGGCAACAGAATCCAATTATTCTACAATGCTAACACCAAATGGGCACAATCCACTTATGTTCAGTTCATATCCTCACAATTTAGTTCAATATCCACTTTAATATTACCCTCCCACTTCCTATTCACATTAAATGTCATGGCTGACTACTTAGTGCTCCTTCTTTGTATATGGATTGCCAGAAGTCCTAATTTACAGCAGCATGCAGACCAGGTGTTAAAAGAAGAGTATTTTGCAAAGAACTATTTTAGAAATTCAACATACAGCGGATTCCCGTTAACTGGGACACATCGGGTCTAGAACACTTTCGCCCAACTGAGCGGCTGCCCCAATTATGTGAAGTTCCACATAAAGGATTAAAAAGGTTTGTTCTTCAAGATTTGTCCCAAATAAATGACTGCCTCAATTAACCAGAATCTACTGTATATAATATACTGTGAGTAAATTCCTGTTCTCATTACTGTATTTCATTGTGGACAGCATGGAGAAGTTCCAAACAAACTCTGATATACACAGCATAAATACAAAGCATAAGCATGATCTCCATCAGCCAAGTGCTAACCTGACTAGTTATCAGAAAGGTGCTTACTATGCAGGGATCAAATTGTTCAATACTCTTCCAGACAGCACTAAAAGTTTAAATCATGATATAAAGTACTTAAGCCAGAACTGAAAGATTATCCTTTATCTCACTCGTTCTACACTACAGAAGAATTTACTTCAATTGAAAATTATTAAATACTTCAGTATTTACGTAAATATATGCAATATACATGCAAGTATGATTTCGTTTTGGCATTCTTTGTACTAAGTGATCGTAATCATATTACGACATGTTCCACGTCCTTGGCTTGTACTATGAAGGATCTACAGTATGTAAATAAATTCTAATTCTAGTTCTAAAATTCTTAAGTGTTTTGTCATTTTTCCAATCTCTTCAACCAAACGTTAAAGACAGTAATTCCATGGCACAGAATTTTCTTTCAACAGTTGCTAGTTATTTAGCTCATCAAGAAACTCCCTCCATTTCTAAGGAACATTGCAATGTCACACAAGCACCAACAAAATCACCCTCAGCCTGATTATTGTCCTCATATTTACATCCTTTTTCTCAATGACATATTATAAATTATCATCCCAACTTGCCAAAGCAGTCCCATCCAACCAATCAAAATTTTGTATGCATTTTTCATTTCCACCACCCATGTTATAACACCACGCAACATCTGCAGGTTGTGGATAAAGGTGTTGGCATCCATTTATGAAGGACAGCCCAAATCTGTTCTATATAAAAGTCAATTTCATACTTGCTTATTTACTTATTTCCAGTGAACGATTTCTTCCTCTCATAGAAGAAATGAGTACAGACATGCAAAATTCTCTGACATATAACTCAATATACAATATTGCCAAAAAGTTCTCAGCAATAATGCTATACAGCAAAACATTTTGCACAGAGACCCACAAAGAAATCTGGAGTGAGGTTCAATCATTGGACTAGTTAGATCATAATTACATTCAAGCATCGTCACTTAGTAATTTTGATAATTCAATAATTAACCTACATTTGTGAAAGTTGGAATGGAATATTTCTACATTTGTAAATCACTGACCTTCACAGATTTACACACACCATAACTTACAGCATTAATATTCAAACACTTCTTCAAAATATGCATGCTATTTAACTGTGTTTATCACATTATTTAAACTTACTTTTAAGAAAATTTTCAATCAAAAGCATTTCCAGTTACAGTAATCCAAATGTAACAATAAAATACTTCATTGTAAAACAACTAATACAGACAAGAAAACATGGATAAACTGATCACATAAAGGCCAAATTGGACAGTACTAATGATACATGTCAATTATGCTAATTGACGGTCACCCTGCAAAGACTGTTAATTCTTTAAACAGCGGTGACTACACGTAAACAAACAGAATAGCTAATTACTCTTGTGCATATACAGGGCCATAATCCTGCACTAACCTATAAATCAAACAAATTAATCTTTTGATTAATATGAAATTTACATGGCCGAAATTTGATATAGCATACTTAAATACAGTCAAGCACAACAACAACCTACAACACGGTGGTTTCCTTAAAATATTTTGAAGTTACGTACAAAGTAATGTTAACTTGTCCATGGTTATAAAAAGATTTCATTCACTTGGATTGGAAAGGGAGCCATTTTCTTACGTAGAATAACAACTTACCAATTTCAATTGTAGATCACGTCTGAAGAGGAATGGTCCTCAACATATATTTTCTGTCACTTTATAATCACACACATGTCTCTCGTACATACATTTTGAATGATTTTACTTACGAGTCATTTAATTTTGTTTCCATAACAGCAAATTAAAACCATTTCAACAATTGACACTGTGCGCTTCCCTCTTGCGCATTTGTCAATGAAAACGCTTCTCGGTCTCGTCGAAATACGGCCAAGTTCGATTAATTTAAATATATCGCATATGTTGAGATATTATTAACAAATTATCTGCAAGCACACAGAATTCCAGTTCTTTCTTACACGAGAGTAAATAACAGAAACTTGGCAAATACAATACTAATATTATTAAAATCATTTCCTCTATCACCATCTACTGACAGTAAATATAACCTTCAGAAGAGTTCGAATAAGTTGCTATGTACGGTCGGGAAAGCAGTCCCCTAAAATTGCACATTTCACTATATTCCTTGCGCTATTTACACTTTGAACTATAATGCATGTTTCTTCGAGACTTTTTTCAAGTCGCCACTATCCTGAGCGAAACCGAAAGAATATAAATACAAACTGATTACAACATTAATATTTATGCCGCAAGGAACAGTTATAACTGCTCCCAATAGGTGGCAGGAGAGCGATTTGCTTATTTAGTCATTGTCTGCAACGAAATTCCAACATACCTCGTGGCATCTTTACGCCGTTGACAAAAATTACTCATGTAACTCCTACTCTTCACAACAGATGACAGAAGTTACCAGCGCTTAGAAATACAAGAAATCCCAGATCAACCGAAATGCGTAATTCCAATGCTATTCGTCGTAAAATTTTCATAAAAATCAGTTTATGCCATCTTGATTTGTTTCACACATCCGGACAAACAGGCAGACAGTGAAATGTTATGAATGTGATCTGCTCTTAACATCCTCCTAATTCAATTTTAATTTATTTCTATCATTTACAAATAAATTGGCATATAATATTGTTTCAATATACTACACCAGAAGAATTAGATACTAACTAACCATTGCTCTCCATTTTAAGAGTTGGCGTTATCTTATCTCAAGTAGAGAGAGGGTAAAAAATTGGTGATAGGGTTACTTGATTGACCATTGCTGAGATTTAGAATAGTTGCAAGTATTAATATTAATGCAGTACCCACCAAAATCTAGCTGTAACAGGTATATTAATATAAGTTCTCTTTCGGTTGTCATAGAAATAGAATTTGTAAAAGTTGTAAAGGAAGAATTTCTTAAACAAAAACTCGTACACTCTTATAAAGGAAAAATCAGATTCATATAGATCATGGACCTGAATTTGTAAACACTTAGGGACATTTAAAAATAGCCTCTCTATCTGTACAAAATTCTGAAAGGCTGATTAAAAACTTGTATTTGTTCCAGAATTATAGAATTTGCTGTAGAAAGCATGCACATACGCGCACGCGAACACACACAGAGTTATTAATTTAATCAATCAGATGTTTTATGCTCAAAGTATATAAAATTAGTTCAAAATATTAAAACTGGTATACAAGTGGCATTACATTTATTTTATTTGACTCTAGAAATATTCCGCAACATATGAGAACCTCTCTTTTAGCCAGACATTAATTAAGTGTAAATAGAATTTGTATTAAATCCATTCTGAATTTGTATGACTACGTACTGTCCAATGATGCATAATGAGAACAGTCTAAAAGTTGCACGGTTGAACACAAACGCAAAATTCTTCACGTGTTACGCGCATCATTGAAACATTGGTGACAACGCAAACTGCATTAAGGGACTTGTGTTGGGTTTTGTACCTTCCCAGCCAGAAGTACCAGCTGGGTGTCCCGGTGCAGGAGGAAGAAGAGAAATGGGCGGTCCACCACCAAATTTGTGGATTCTCTTTTCGGTCTTTTGGGAACTGCAAATAAAAATATGAGTTTTTAACTATGATAATTACAGCAATAATAACTTAAGATTTAAGACAAAACTTACACAAAATATGATAGATTTTTCAGTTTTTAGTTTTAAATTATAATATAAATGTATAATGTTTGTCATAACAGAGCAGGAATTTCTTGACCAACTAAACAACTATCAGGTTCTCATGATACATGGAGTTGGCCCTTACCCAGGTTAGTAGACACTGAGCCGACAGAGTTGACGGATACGAAAGACGTTGAGAAGAATGCATCCTGTATGACCGACTTGACGTGTACATAAGGCGCTGGTGTGGCAGCGCTCAGGTCCGCGGACGTTGCGTTGAAGACTGCGCGGACGCCAAGCTGGCGGAGGAACTGCGTGACGTCGATGGCACTGCTGACGATGGTGAACTGTGGCAAAGACACGGAGGCCTCAGAATGAGGCAGCCACTCCTGCACCAACTGCTGTAGCGACACCCCCGGCAGCTTCACCAACAGCTCATCCAGGTTGTCACTCGAGTCTGGAACTAGCAATAGCAGTGACACCGAGCCCACCTGAAAACAATGGTGGACGTGTTATGCCTTAGCTCATTATTACAAAAATGGAGTTTCATTTTAAAATTTAACATATTACATCAGACACTAACGACAGCAGTAAATAAAAACACCGAACGGGTCACATGTTCTTTTATCTGAGACTTTAAGTTTCGTCCTTCCATTCTATTATGGACAAGGAATGCGAGGAATAAAAAAACTTAATTTATTAACTCCGTATATATGCAGCTTATATCATCGAAAAAGTTATAAGTGCGAATCGCGATACAACTGAGATTTTAAACCCACTTCCAGCGGAAGTTCGACGCCGTGGGCATTGAGTTGGTGAATTCTTCCGGCGCGAAAGTCCCCAACCTGCGGCACCATGGGTACGGGTATGGTATCTGTCGGGGTTCGCTGAAATGGAGCTGCAGGTTCATGCGAAAGAAAGGAGAAGGCAGCCAGTCGGTCATAGTCCTTCCAGTGGCTCATTACTCCAGAATCGCTCCTCAGTTCCAGACTCACCGATGCAGGACGTGCTCCTGGAACATTCACAGACGTCTTTACTGCACTATACCGAGCACTACGGTTGCCATGGTAACATACTCTGCAGCAATTGGTCCTGAGGATCTGAGAGCGTCTCAGATTCGTTGGGACGTGTATCCACACAAAGACAGGGTTTAGAGTGAAAAGTGTCTGATCATTGGATAAGGTTAAAACACTTAAATGAAGTGCTAAATTAGTAATACGTGCACAAAAGAGAATCAGAAGAGTATGGAGAACATAACGTAACAAGTTCATCGCCAAATATGTGATGAAATCATAAACGTTTATGTTGGAAAAAATTAAAGGGAAGAGAAGAACTGAAGGACCTAGAAGTAGATGGGAATTAATCATATTGTAACGTGGGGCGGCGTTGCGACCCTGATTGTCAACCCTGATTTATTCACGTAAAATTAAATCAGTTACAGAGGTCTGCACACACAGTCAACTCTATACCACAACAACAGTCTTCGAGTCTCTGTTTCCTGTACACACACACACACACACTCTCTCTTGGCTATGCTAACACAACTAATACTTTGACAAATGAAAAACAGTAATCTGCTGTCTTACTTTCGTGGTTCATTGGTGCTCCACACACTAGAACACAGCAGAACCGATCAGATAAAATACTTCGTTAGCCAGGAAGCTGGGGTTTAAGCTCGCAGCAAAGGCCTGGCTGGAGTACCACAGAACCACCAACGCAAGACAGAAGAGTTTTTATTTTTCGCTTTTCAAAGTGTTAGCCAGGCTAACTGCGTTAGAATGAATGCCTCGCCCCTGGCATTAATATTAAAATAGGTCTCATATAATTGGGATCTGAGTGTGTGGACTGGATGAAACTATGTCACAACAGGGGCCAGCGCGGGCTGTTGTGAACACAGTAATGAACATTTGTGTCCCATAAAATATTGGAAATTTATATATTAGCTGAGCAACTATCAGTGTTCCAAGAGTGGCTATGTTCTATGTAATGATAATAATAACTTACCTGTAAGGTTGTCGAACCTGGAAATCTCAGTTAGGTTCACGCGGTAGAACTTATTCAAGATGGCTTTGTAAGACGCTAAGAGGGGCTGCGAGCTGACCATCGTCGCCATGTTGAATGAGCCAGCTGCCTCCTTGTTCTCTGCTGCTGCCTAAATTTGCCACATCAGAAATTCATTCACTTCTAAATTCAAGAACATTAATTATCCTCTAAAAAATTCTAGAGGCTCGACTTCACTTTGTCAGATTATGCACGTCGTTAACATCTGGGACACAAAATGTCCCTCATCCTTAAGCCTAAACTGAGCCATTATGTCTCACGTACTACGTGCCTAAGGCTCGGTAGAAAATGAGATCGTTCCTTAATACCGGGCACACAAAAATATGACTAAAATTTAAAGTTACCATAATGTTTCTGAAATGACACTAAGTAACGAATATTATGTTCGTCAAATCCGAAAGTTCAACATCGTAGTATCC